GACTCAACGACGCAGTCGAAATTTCCATTAGAGGTCATCTCGATAAAAAGTGGGTCCCACTTCCAAAGGCCATTTTAAACCAAAATCCACCTAGGGGCTCGGAATGAGTCCGGAGGCCTCGGGAGTCGAACGAAAGGTCATTCTAGACCAAACTCGACATTTTGAGGCTAATCGCGCTGTCAGAATTTTCAGTCGAACACGTTTTCCAAGAATGTTGACCAAAGTCAATCGCTAGCCAATTTTCAAGGCTAACATGCTAAAAATGGTTTAAACTCGCACCGAAAGCCTCGGGACTCGAGTCAACCATGCTTCTAGCCTAATTTGGCCATTTTGGAGCTGATGGAATTGTCAGAATTCCATTTTGAGGCCGTTTTCGTGATGAACTGACTAAAAGTCAGTTTTCAAGCTTCAAGGTTTCTAAAACATGGAAAGCTACACAAAATCCAAACGAACGACTAGGCGATCGCACAGTCAGTGTCAGCAAGTCATAAATGACTTGGGGTTGCTTTAGGAACGCTCTAAACGACGAAAAGGAGGCATTAAGGCAAAAATGACCTGGAGGGTCATTACAACTTTCAATTTTGAAAATTTGAAATGTCTTTTATGCTGGAAGTAATCTTTAATAGTGCTAATTCAATTGGAAGTGAGTAGTTTGCAGGTACTATTTCTTATAGCTAGTTTAACTGGTAGTTCTACTTGTTTGTTGTATGAAGTATTTTTAACACATGCAGTGGACATCGTATTGGCACAGCCGAAGTGGAATCTGCTCTAGTTTCACATCCTCAGTGTGCTGAAGCAGCTGTGGTTGGTGTGGAGCATGAGGTACTTTCATGGTCTAGTTCTCGTCTGAGTTTAAATGGAGTTTTCCCTTCTCTACTCTAATCTGTTCTTTTGGAGTCTGCGTAAAAGGTTAAAGGACAGGGGATATATGCATTTGTTACTCTAGTCGAAGGTGTTCCATACAGCGATGACCTGCGAAAAAGTCTTGTGGTGGTTGTTAGGAATCAGGTATATTTGTTCCATTCTCTCTGGCAATTCAACATGTGTGTATTGTCTGTTTTTCCTTCTTTTTTTTTTAGACAGGCTACTTGAATACTATCTACAAATGGGATAAAAATTGCCAATAAACCCTCCAAACTTAATTGAAAATGAAAACAAAAAGAAGAGAAAATCTTGCCATGGGACTGAAGCTATGACTTTTACAAAGAGTGTTTGTGCCAATCTTCAAGCTTTAAGAGTCTCATCTTTCCATTGCAATGTTGTTGGGACCATGCCCTTCTTATCTCTTAGAAGACTAGTTTTTTTGTGTGTGTGTTGCTTTTTTCTTCTGTACTTCAGTACCGAAATAGTAGTTGGCATAAGTAGTCATCTCCTTGACGGGTCTGACACTTAAACCCGTGGTATTGGGTAGGATATTTGAAAAAAGGGTTGCGTTGGATTTTTGGAGAAGATAAAATGAAAACCAAGGAATTATTAGTTTTATTCCTTTAGGGAGTTACCTATTTAAACATACATGCGCTTGTACAAACACCAAAGTAGAAAAAAAAAAAGGTTAGAGAGCACTGCTAATGAGTCCTGATTTTCGAAAGACAAAGGATAAATCTATCACGCCCACCATGGGGCTTCAACCCACGACTAAGGATGGCAAATGGGAGGGGCTGGTGCGGGTGCGGGTTTAAGTCTTTACCCCGCTCAGCCCCGCATAGCACAATTATTTTTTCTTGCCCCACCCCGCCACACTCTACATAAATCCGTCCCGTCCCGCATAGCTTTATGTTTTTTTGTACCTATTTAAATCATATGAACTATTCAATGCCGGCACCTGGAAGATTAAAATATCATCAAATTGACTAAAAAATCATTAAAAGCACTAACATCTTTTAACTCACATTGTTAATTGTTAGATTTTTAACAAAAAAAACAAATTCTGCACAGCCCATATGCACAGACAAGTTGAAACACCAAAAATGATTGTGAACATATATTTCCATCCAACTCCACATATGGAAGAAGAAGAAGAAAACCCTAACCCATACCCGCCCCACCCCATATATTTTTCTTTAAAAATATTTTGTACCCGCCCCGCAAAAATACCAACCCGCACTGCCCCACAAACACTATTACCCACCCCGTTTTGCGTCTGCCCTGCTCCATTGCCATCCCTACCCACGACCACAAGGTTAAGAGCCTTACGCTCAACCAACTAAGCTAGATGGTCTATTTTTTAATAAAATAAATATGAACATATAATTTTTTACTGCAGAATGTACACTAGCATTCTCCTTATATTTGAAACTGCATGAAGTTGTTACCACTGCTTGAAGTTTCCATTTTACATGTCAGATTGGGGCTTTTGCAGCGCCAGACAAGATACATTGGGCACCAGGTCTTCCAAAGACGAGAAGTGGGAAAATAATGAGAAGAATTCTGAGGAAAATCGCTTCCAGGCAGTTAGATGAGCTTGGGGACACTAGTACCCTTGCAGACCCAACTGTGGTTGATCAGCTTATTGCACTTGCTGATTGCTAAAGTAACAACTTCTAAATATAGTGAAGTTAGAGGTTTAGCTAACTGTGTTGTTAGAGATTGGTATTTTGTTTCCGTTTTAGTGTGAGTACCTTTTTCCTCCAAATTTGAAACAACTTATGGTTAACACACTTTTGAAGATCAGGTTACATTTAAAATCAAGAAATAAAATACCAAGATGTGGATTTTCTTTTCAATGTTATTTCGGTTTACTTGTGCCACTTTTCATCACTTTGTTGGAAATATTATTCCTTTTCGTTAGAGCTCTAGAATCTAGATAAAGAATTACTTCCTCCATTTCAAGTATTTGCTTTATTTTCCTTTTTAGTCAGTTTCAATATATTTGATAACAAAGAGTTGGACACGTAGATTTCTATGGAGCCCACATGATCATGATAACATCGAAGGTGCTATATGCCTTCATATGTTGCCAATTACGTGTAAAATGGAAGTTGGAAGGAGCCCACAGATAAAAATGGGTAAACTACCAATGTAGTACCTTTTGTACACAACTTAGAGATTAGTGGCTAAACGCCCTTGTTTTGGGGCTGTAGCTACGGATTGAATGTTGATTATTTAAGGTTTATGAATTAATTGTTGGTTGTCATTATCAGTTACTTCTATATTCTTGTTTTAGTATTTTATGCTTGCACACCATAAGATAAATCTATTATCTATTCTTAAAATCGAGAGAGGAGAGAGAAGATAGACCAGAGAATATAGAAAACTTGATCATCCATTACGAGTTGATTTGTGTTTAGGAGTGACGCCCGGACGAACAACTTGTTTGGTTACGAAACATGATGAAATATAAATGCTCGCCAGTTAGGCCTGTTTATCCTCGCTCAATGATGTAGTTTGACAGCTAACTGAAGTAGGTGACTAGAGGTTGAGAGACCCGACTCATACAATTAACCCTGTAAACCAGTAACTTGAAGACTAAAATTAGTTCTAAGCCGATACATGAGATTCATTGCATGTTGCAGTCCTGGAATTTTCCAAATTACTGTAAGCAATTTTATTATTTTATTCCTGCATTCTTTTCTTTTGGCACTCTTAAATAAATAATTAGACCAGTTGACAACAACTAACTGCAATTCAATTTGAATTCTAGTTTGTGTCCTAAGTCCTTTATCCTTTAGGAAAGGATCAATTCCTTCACTATTCTCTAACTTCTACTTGGGGTCACTCCTCGGAAAGATTCTTCATATATAATATTCAATTTAATCCATTAAGCTGTCTGTTTGATTTCCTTCTTCAACCTTTCATCTTTAATTCATTTTAGCTCCAAACTTCTTCAACTTTACACCAATTTACTCCTACAAATAAAGTACACTATTTAGCACAATCCATAAAATAAAATCAAGTAAAGGAGTTAAGTTTTTCAAATAGATCTCGAAAAAATACGAAGAATCAAATTTTTTTTTTACGTCAAACGGATATTCGAGCCCAAAGTTACGATCATTTGAAGCTTCACCATATTAAATATTGAAACTCAAAAAAAGTAGTTGTATATTTATGTAACTTCAAGCGGTCATAACTTTGGCCTCACAAGTCCGTTTGAGTAGATTTGTTTTTTGAATTTGGTTAAATTTCCGAGATCTACGTGACCAAACTGCCGTAAGACGGTTTGACTGAACCAATTTTTTTATAAAAGTCTTTTACTTATTCTATATAAGTAGAAATATAATAAGAAAAAAAAACTAAAAAATAAAAGAAAGGAGTTGAGTTTTTCAAATAGATCTCGAAAAAATACGAAGAATCAAAAAAAGAATTACGTCAAACGGATATTTGAGGCCAAAGTTACGATCATTTGAAGTTTCACCATATTAAAGATTGAAACTCAAAAAAAGTAGTTGTATATTTATGTAACTTCAAACGGTCATAACTTTGGCCTCGGATGTCCGTTTGAGGAGATTTTTTTTTTGGATTTGGTTATTTTTTTGAGATCAACGCGACCAAACTATCGTAAGGCGGTTTGATTAAGCCAATTTTTTGATAAACGTCTTTTACTTATTCTATATAAGTAGAAATATAATAAGAAAAAAAAACTAAAAAATCAAATAAAGGAGTTGAGTTATTCAAATAGATCTCGAAAAAATACGAAGAATCAAAAAAAGAATTACGTCAAACGGATATTCGAGCCCAAAGTTACGTTCATTTGAAGTTTCAGCATATTAAAGATTGAAACTCAAAAAAAATAGTTGTATATTTATGTAACTTCAAACGGTCATAACTTTGGCCTCGGATGTCCATTTGAGGAGATTTTTGTTTTGAATTTGGTTATTTTTTCTAGATCTAAGCGACCAAACTGCCATAATGCGGTTTGACAAAGCCAATTTTACTTATTCAATATAAGTAGAAATATAATAAGAAAAAAAAACTAAAAAATAAAAGAAAGGAGTTGAGTTTTTCAAATTGATCTCGAAAAAATACGAAGAATAAAAAAAAGAATTTCGTCAAATGGATATTTGAGGCCAAAGTTACGATCATTTGAAGTTTCAGCATATTAAAGATTGAAACACAAAAAAAGTAGTTGTATATTTATGTAACTTCAAATGGTCATAACTTTGGCCTCAGATGTCCGTTTGAATAGATTTTTTCTTGAAATTGGTTATTTTCCTGAGATCTACGCGACCAAACTGCCGTAAGGCGGTTTGACTAAGCTAATTTTTCGATAATCGTCTTTTACTTATTCAATATAAGTAGAAATATAATAAGAAGAAAAAAACTAAAAAATCAAATAAAGGAGTTGAGTTTTTCAAATACATTTCGAAAAAATACGAACAATAAAAATAATAATTACTTTAAACAGATATTCGAGCCCAAAGTTACGATTATTTGAAGTTTCACCATATTAAAGATTGAAACTCAAAAAAAGTAGTTATAAATTTATGTAACTTCAAACGATCATAACTTTGTCCTCACATGTCCGTTTGAGTAGATTTTTTTTCTGAATTTGGTTATTTTTCCGAGATCTACATGGCCAAACTGCCGTAAAGTAGTTTGACTGAGCCAAATTTTTTTATAAACGTCTTTTACTTATTCTATATAAGTAAAAATATAATAAGAAAAAAAAACTAAAAAATAAAAGAAAAAAGTTGAGTTTTTCAAATAGATCTCGAAAAAATACGAAGTATCAAAAAAAGAATTACGTCAAACAGATATTCGAGCCCAAAGTTACGATAATTTGAAATTTCACCATATTAAAGATTGAAACTCAAAAAAAGTAGTTGTATATTTATGTAACTTCAAACGATCATAACTTTGGCCTCGGATGTCCGTTTGAGGAGATTTTTTGTTTGAATATGGTTATTTTTCAAAGATCTACGCGGCCAAACTGCCATAAGGCGGTTTGACTGAGCCAATTTTTTGATAAACGTCTTTTACTTATTCTATATAAGTAGAAATATAATAAGAAAAAAACTAAAAAATAAAAGAAAGGAGTTGAATTTTTCAAATAGATCTCGAAAAAATACGATGAATCAAAAAAAGAATTACGTTAAACGGATATTTGAGCCCAAAGTTACGATCATTTGAAGTTTCACCATATTAAAGATTAAAACTCAAAAAAAGTAGTTGCATATTTATATAACTTCAAACGGTCATAACTTTGGTCTCGGATGTCTGTTTGAGGAGACTTTTTTTTTGAATTCGGTAATTTTTCCAAGATCTACGCGACCAAACTACGGTAAGGCGGTTTGACTGAGCCAATTTTTTTATAAACGTATTTTACTTATTCTATATAAGTAGAAATATAATAAGAAAAAAAAATAAAAAATAAAAGAAAGGAGTTGAGTTTTTCATATAAATCTCGAAAAAATACGAAGAGTCAACAAAATAATTACGTCAAACGGATATTCGAGCCCAAAGTTACGATCATTTGAAATTTCACCATATTAAAGAATAAAAATTCAAAAAAAAGTAGTTGTATATGTATATAACTTCAAACAGTCATAACTTTGGCCTCGGATGTCCGTTTCATGCGATTTTTTTTAAAATATGCGTATTTTTTCGAGATCTACGCAACCAAATTGCCGTAAAGCGGTTTGATCGGGCCGATTTTTAGAAAAAACGTCTTTTAACTATTCTATATCAGTAGAAATATATTAAGAAAAAAAATAATAAAATCAAATAAAGGGGATGATTTTTTCAAATAGATCTCGAAAAAATATGAAGAATCAATTTTTTTTTTGCATCAAACGGATATTCGAGCCCAAAATTACGATCATTTGAAAATTCACCATATTAAAGATTGAAAGTTGAAAATAGTAGTTGCAAATTTCTGAAATTTCAAACCATCATAACTTTGGCCTCGGATGTCCATTTCAGGCGATTTTCTTTTCAATCTACGTATTTTTTCGAGATCTATGCAACCAAACTTCTGTAAGGCGGTTTGATCGATCCGATTTTTAGAAAGACGTCTTTTAACTATTCGATATCAATAGAAATATATTAAGAAAAAAAATTTTAAAATCAAATAAAGGTGATGAGTTTTTCAAATAGATTTCGAAAAAATACTAATAATCAATTTTTTTTTTGCGTCAAACGGATATTCTAATCCAAAATTACGATCATTTGAAAATTCACCATATTAAAGATTGAAAGTTGAAAATAGTAGTTGCAAATTTGTTAAATTTCAAACGGTCATAAGTTTGGCATCGGATGTTCGTTTCAGGCGATTTTTTTTTCAATCTGAGTATTTTTTCTAGATCTACGCTACTAAACTGCCGTAAGGTGGTTCGATTGAGCCGATTTTTTGATAAACGTCTTTTAACTATTCTATATCAGTAGAAATATATTAAGAAAAAAAAATCAAATAAAGGGGATATTTTTTCAAATAGATCTCGAAAAAATACGAAAAATAATTTTTTTTTGTGTCAAACGGATATTCGAGCCCAAAGTTACGATCATTTGAAAATTCGCCATATTAAAGTTTGAAAGTTGAAAATAGTAGTTGCAAATTTGTGAAATATCAAACGATCATAACTTTGGCCTCGGATGTCCGTTTCAGGCGATTTTTTTATTCAATTTGCGTATTTTTTTGAGATCTACGCAACCAAACAGCCGTAAGGCAATTTGATTGAGCCAATTTTTCGATAAATGTCTTTTAACTATTCTATATTAGTAGAAATATATTAAGAAAAATAAAATAAAATCAAATAAAGATGATGATTTATTCAAATAGATCTCGAAAAAATACAAAGAATAAAACAAAATTGCGTCAAATGAATATACCAGCCCAAAGTTACGATCATTTGAAATTCATCACATTAAAGATTGAAAGTTGAAAATAGTAGCTGCAAATTTGTGAAAATTTCAAACGATCATAACTTTGGCCTCAGATATCCGTTTTATGCGATTTTTCTTTCAATATGCGTATTTTTTCAAGATCTATGCAGCCAAACTGCCGTAAGGCGGTTTGATCGAGTCAATTTTTCAAAACACGTCTTTTAACTATTCTATATAAGTAGAAATATAATAAGAAAAAATAATAATAAAATCAAATGAAGGAGATGAGTTTTTCAAATAGATCTTGAAAAAATACGAAGAATCAAATTTTTTTTTGCGTCAAACGGATATTCGAGCCCAAAATTACGATCATTTGAAAATTCACCATATTAAAGGTTGAAAGTTGAAAATAGTAGTTGCAAATTTATGATATTTCAAACGGTTATAACTTTCGCCTCGAATGTTCGTTTCATGCGAATTTTTTTTCAATCTGCGTATTTTATTTGATATCTACGCAACCAAACTGTCGTAAGGCGATTTGATTGGGCAAATTTTTAGAAAAAACGTCTTTTAACTATTCTATATTAGTAGAACTATATTAAGAAAAAAATATCAAATAAAGGAGATGATTTTTTCAAATAGATCTAAAAAAAATACGAAGAATCAATTTTTTTTTTTGCATCAAACGAATATTCGAGCCCAAAGTTACGATCATTTGAAAATTCACCATATTAAAGATTGAAAGTTGAAAATAGTAGTTGCAAATTTGTGAAATTTTAAACGGTCTTAACTTTGGCCTCGGATGTCCGTTTCAGACGATTTTTTTTCAATCTGCATATTTTTTCGAGATCTACTCAACTAAATTGCAGTAAGGCGGTTTGATCGGGCTAATTTTTTGATAAACATCTTTTAACTATTCTATATCGTAGAAATATATTAAGAAAAAAAAATCAGATAAAGGTGATGATTTTTTTCAAATAGATCTCGAAAAAATACGCAGAATCAAATTTTTTTTTTGCGTCAAACGGATAATCTAGCCCAAAGTTACGATCATTTGAAAATTCACCATATTAATAATTGAAAGTTGAAAATAGTAGTTGCAAATGTCAAATTTCAAACGGTCTTAACTTTGGCCTCGGATGTCCGTTTCAGGGGATTTTTTTCAATCTGCGTATTTTTTTGAAATCTACGCAACCAAACAGCCGTAAGGCAGTTTGATCCAGTCGATTTTTCAAAACACGTCTTTTAACTATTCTATATACGTAGAAATATAATATGAAAAAAAAAATCAACTAAAGGTGATGAGTTTTTCAAATAGATCTCGAAAAAATACGAAGATTCAAATTAAATTTGCGTAAAACGGATATTCGAACCCAAAGTTACGATCATTTGAAAATTCACCATATTAAAAATTGAAAGTTAAAAATAGTAGTTGCAAATTTGTGAAATTTCAAACGGTTATAACTTTGGCCTCGGATGTCCGTTTCAGACGATTTTTTTTTCAATCTGCATATTTTTTCAAAATCTACTCGACTAAATTGTCGTAAGGCGGTTTGATCGAGCCAATTTTTCGATTAACGTCTTTTAACTATTCTATATCAGTAGAAATATATTAAGAAAAAAAATCAGATAAAGGGGATGATTTTTCAAATAGATCTCGAAAAAATACGAAGAATCAAATTATTTTTTTTGAGTCAAACGGATATTCGAACCAAAAGTTACGATCATTTGAAAATTCACCATATTAAAGATTGAAAATAGTAGTGGCAAATTTGTGAAATTTCAAACGGTCATAACTTTGGCCTCGGATGTCCGATTTAGACCATTTTTTTTTCATTCTCCATTTTTTTTTCGAGATCTACGCAACTGAAATGTCGTGAGGCGGTTTGAGCGAGCCAATTTTTCAAATAACGCTTTTTACTCTTTCTTATGTGAGTAGAAATAAGATGAGAAAATAAAAAGGAAATTCAACGAAAGCGAATGAGTTTTGCAAATAGATCTCAAAAAAATACGAGGTATCGAAAACAAAATTGCGCCAAAAGGACGTTCGAGTCGAAAGTTACGATCATTCGAAAATTCAGCATCTTAAAGATTGAAGGTAGCTGTGAAAAAAGGAAATTCAAACGGCCATAACTCGGGCTTCGGGTGTCTGTTTCAGGCGATGTTTTTTTTAACCTGCGTATTTTTTTGATATCTACGCAACCAAACCATCGTAAAGCGGTTGAGCTAGCCGATTTTTCAAAAAACGTCTTTTACTCATTGATATATGATGAAAAAGTAAAAAAGAAATTCAATAAAAGGAGATGAGTTTTTAAATAGATCTGGCAAAAATACGAGGAATCA